TATTTTTGATAATATTGTTAATTTACCTAATAAAGAATGTTACGCGTTACTTTATTAGCACACACACAACTACTGTATTTTTGTCCACCCTGTACCAATTGGAATCAACATGTGATACATTTTTGGAATCAGCTCAGCTAGAGTAATCCGAAAATTGAGACAAAATGGGGGTGTTCCATTTAAAAAAATGACGGTGACGTCATTACTCGAACGTAATTCACCCTGTATATTAGATTATTATTTTAAAATACGGTAAATTAACATTAAAAATCGACGTGTTTCAGGATTATTTCTTAAAATGACCAGTTTAGCTAAAAATGAATTTGTTCTATACTTTACGGACACAGTGTATTTCAAAAATAAGGAAAATTCATGGACAAAGTTCGGCTGGCTTCTGTTGACAACTCCGTGAATTTCTGCCGTTTTCGACAACCAAATGTTGCCTAACCTTGCACTTCGCTATACCGTACTAATGAGAGCTGATAACAGCGGTTTGTAGTTTGCCAAGATAACTATCAGGGAGCAAGAGTTTTTCCGGCTTACTTAATACTTATCGTTTATGACCAAAATCACACAAAACCTTTGTTAATTGTAGCTTATATGTTATTCTGGTGTATTAGTTGTATTTATGTAAAGTTAAATCCAAATCCGTTCTTTCTTTAAGGCGTGAAAGAGCCACAAACATACATACATCCTCACAAACTTGCACATTTATAATATTAATATAGATTAATATAGATATAGATTTGTAGATATAGACCGGTAGCTTTGTTTGCTCCCTCAAATCAAACAAAACTTTTGAAACAATCTGATACTTTTGTTGTGCTTGTTCCCGGGTATTTTCCTACCCATGGAGGCAACGTTTTTTACATCCATGTTCCTACTAGATTGAGAACTGCTTCCTCGGTTCGTTCAAACCAAATTTGAGTGTAACCTATATTATTTTACCTAAGTGAACATTTTAAACAAATACCTAAATATTATGTCAAACTATTTTCCAGGTTTTTGTCGTAGCCTGCATGTTTTTAATGCAAAAGTTTTGCCTACATAGTCGGAAGACATCATAGTCGATGTTCCAGCTGCTCTCACAGCACATAGAAATAGAGAAATGTAATCAATGAATTATGATCTCATACCAAATTTCTAACTTGTAAACAAGATGCCTACTTTGAATTAAAACAATCATAGGTGATGAAAGGGGCCTGTGATGAATGAATTAATGAAAGTAGCTATTAAAACAAAGTAGTTCCATGGCTCGAAATATGGGTACTAGTATTCAACCATAAATGCAATATGTTAATTTCTTATTAATGGTAATATCACTCCAATACCAATTTGATTTGGTTGGAAATAAATTATGGTAACTTTCTTATCTTATTGGAATCAATCACGAATGGTTTACTTACTTTCATATTTGAGTACAAAACATTTGTTTGTGGAACAGTTAGTGAGATCAAGACTCAGTTTATCTCCGTCGATACATTCATCAGATGTTTGATGACAGTGAAAACATAAAAATGGTGTTCCTGAAACAAATGAAAATGATTGAATATATGTAGTTGAGAAAATACCTATTACTATGTTCCAAAAATAAGGTGAATTTCCATTTTCCCCAAGAAATATTCATCCATTCGTCAGTTTCAATTTTGTTCCCCTTTCCCCTCAGATATAATAAACTTGTGCCAGGGTTTTTCCAATCCTCGAAGCAGTTCTTATAAGCACTTTTTGAGCTCGTTCAGCGATTTGGTTTTTATCTCATCAATCGTTGCAAAAAGCCATCATTTCATAAGCCTCTTCAGTCTTGATAACAGGAAAAACTCGCAGGGGGCAAAATCTGGTGAATACGGTGGCCGAGGCATGATTACGGTGTTGTTTTTGGCCAAAAAATAACGGACGTTTTCTTCCAATTGCTTCTCACAAGTAGTGCACACGATAATACTCCTTATTGACCGTACGACCATGTGGCAATAACGCCTGATGTACTACGCCACGGTAATCGAAGAAAATAGTGAGCAAATAGTTTCAGAAGGAAAACTTATAAAGACAATAAAAGAGAGATTCATCTTGAAGCAAATGGTATCCGGATCAATGATGGAACAGAAGTTGGCAATAATTTTGCTTGCCACTTTGCCAGAGAAGCCTCGGCAGCTCTGTTAAAAGACATGTAGATCAGAACATGTCACTACCACATTCGGTCTCAGAATTTAATGAAAGCTCAATGTTTTTTGAAGAAGTGCTAGAACCTGAACTAGTTTCAACAATGACCGAACGAAAAAATAAAAAATCGAGTGGCCTAGACGATATAACAATAAAAGTTCTAAAATATGTCATTCCATCAATATCTGGAATTCTGTTGAATATTTTCGATAGCAAAAATCGCCGACCAGGCGGAACACTTCTAACTTTTATGTCTCTCACCAAGAAACTCAACATGCTAAACAGCTAAAACCGCGAACATGAAAAAACTCGCTCATCGAAATCCTGCGAAATTTGAACATTCACCTTATTTTTTGAACAGCCCTCGTACAAGTATCACATTTAAAGAAATTATCACGTTTGGCATTGTGCAAACAATAGACAGACGCAGAGACGACAAAAAGGATTAAAAAAAGTGAAGAAGTGGAATAAAAATATATTACTCGTCACGTTCTAAAAAAACGGAAAACAGTGAATAATTGGTATCTATCGAAAAAATAATTTGAAACGAACTAACTTGTTGAAGACTTCTATTAAATATTCCATCAGAAATTATACATCGCCAAAAATTACAGTTTTCAAGAAATCACCTGATGAAATATGATTTGAGAGAAATGTGAACAACATAAATAACAAATATTTTTTATTGTGATTAAAGGTGCTATGAACACAATTAATTTGATTTCGCGGTCCTGATATTGAAATATTTTCATCAGATTATATTTATTCTAAATAGTTTCCAGTGCTCACTTCACGCTGTGAAAATTTTCAAATTCTTTCAGACAAATAATTCAGATATGCATAAAAGTTTCTAATTCAAAAATTGGGGACACACTGTAAATAATGTATTCATTAGCAAAAAATCACTTACCCATTTCAATTAATTCAAAAAACATAAAAACAACCCACAAAATCGAAAGTAGTTTCATTCTGACTGATGACTGTCGCTATTTCTGCTGAACATTTCCCGATAGCTCCAGCTATATTTTTTCATGTTTGCAGCAATTGAAAAAGTGTTCACTTATTTATATCCGACTCGGATTGTTGGTCCTGGATTATTTCTCTCTTTTCTCTCGAACTTCGTGCTCGTGAAATCACGATAGAACTACATACGTGGGTCCGGTATTACAGAGAACTAGGCGTCGAGGCGTCAGGCGTCCAGGAGAATAGCCTGGAAATTCACGAAATGAGGTTAACGATTCGTCAACTTCGCATGCCCTACGGTACGCGGAGTTTCCGAAAATAATTCTCTCATCATGCAGTATTTCGAAATTTATTTACGTACCATTTTAAGTGACACTTAAAAAGTATTTTATTCAACCACGTAACGATGTACTTTATCGGTTAGTTTATTTTGGAAAGTGTGGGAATTAAGTGCGTCCCACATTGATTACTGAATGATATACGGGTAAAAATATATATAACAATTAACACTTCCGAAATATAAATCATGAAATTATAAAACAACAAAAATTAATTGGCGCTCCGGGGCGACTTCATTGATATCAGTGGCGCATTTGCTTTTTCAGTCGCAGGAAAATCCGGAAAAACCTGCAGCACCACATCATCTGAAGATCTTTATCTGCCAATGCCCTCTCTCTCATAAAACAAAATGTAGGGTGTCTCCAGAGGCTCCAATAAATTCAATACATCGCCAGAACACTTAGTGACACGACTATCGTCAAACTTAAACCAGTTCGTTTTGTCTTTGACCAAGGCGTAATAATGACCAGATTCAACGCCAGAACCACAGTGAACAATGACTGCAACGACAACTCTCAGAAGTTGAGAAACTTGTGCGAGCTAAGGACTAACGAGGTCTTACCTTTTAACGTGTGATTCCTAACACGGTGGTCTGCTAGATCAAAGTGTTCATCTATTTCGAACCTTCGTAAGAGTTTGGTGCTTCCGTCAGAGGTTGAGTCATGTTTGAAGATCATCAGTGTTATTATTAGATTGACTGGTGCCTCAGCCATACTTGTTTTCTTATAACAGTCAGTTAGTTTGTTGCATGTTTGACAATACAGTCTATCATCACCTGTTAAAGTTTCATTTTCAGATGATTTAACAATTAGCTTTGCACGGACTGGTTTTTGGTCATATTAGGAAATGCTAGTTGAAGTTCCAGAAATTCACATACGTTTTTACTACCTCTTGAACATTTGCTACAAAGTAAACAAGTGAGGATTTTTTCGGCAAAAGATTTACTAATACAAGACGAGCTAGACTGTACGGAATGATTCAATTCAGATCGGTCAGGAGTATTGATTCTCCTATTGTTTTGCTCACGAAGAGTATTCAACAAGAACCCCAAGAATTCGGAACAATCCTCTTGTTGTCTTAACTAGTGGACTTCAAAGACTCCGGGATATCGGTTGGAGGGAAAGATGATACATTCTTATGAAACTGCAGCTGCATGAACATGTGTTTGAGTTTGATGAATAAGTAGGAAACATTCTCGTTCTCGTTCATCATTTAAACCTCGTTCTTGAAATTCTTCGTCATGAACAACACTTGTAAAATGCTATTCATGTAGCAAGTGTTTCCTAAATTATCTAATCCAATTTTCTCCTCAAGATTTTCAGGACAAGTTTCTACTGATTCGTAAGAAAGAAATTGTTTCACAGAATCTGGATAAGAACCATTTCTCAAGCTGAAATCGATCTTCCCAAGTGATGAAGGGTATCGTAGTGGGATCGATTCAGCTGTTGCTTCATGAAGCTGTTCATATAAAAGGGAACCAGAACCACGGGTATTGCAATTCATATTTGGGGGCAGGAATGTCCTAAGTCCATTGACCGCACTGAAAAAGAAGGTGGATCAATCACTTGCGAATTAACCTTGATAGGAGACTGATGAATATCCACATATCTCGGCTTGTTTCGAAGAGATTTTAGTTCCGTACTGGAATGAGGGCAATGCATGATCTCACCAAAATTATGTGAAGGAGGAATAGTTCCAAGGACCGAAGCAGCATTACCACGTTGTATAGCAATACTAATTCTTTCTATCAAAAAAGTGGTAGAACGGTGATATTTCGTTGCTTGTCCTATTCTCCTTCCTAGTTCATGAACGAATAACAGAGACTCAGGCCAAAAACACCAAAAGTTTCAACCGCTACTGAATGGAACTGCTAGTTGTTACCAAGATTTTGATATTTTTTTGGTTCAATTTTTCGCCAGATAATGCTGCGGTTCCAGCAGACTTTGAACTTTTGGCTAGATGTTTTATGAAACTGAAGTGAAATGAATAAAATAGAAAATTATACTGTGTATTTGTTTACTATTTATAAGAAAATATTACTTCAGTAGAATATACATGGCGAGCCAATGAAAACGAAACAAATGCGATTTCTTTTAGTTGGCGTTTAGGAAGTTTCCAACTTTGTCACTTCCATTCCATCCGCGGAGTGTGATTCAACCCTTAATTTTAAATTTGATTAGGGATAAAGTGATATTTCGTTTGAAAGGATATTGATTTCAAACGCTTCCTTTTTGCCAAAAAAAGAATACTAGGCTTTTTCCACTCTTGAGACCAATTGAGCTATAGTTAGCATGGTGTTCAACAAGAATTGTTTTCCTTCTTTATTTACAATGGAGGACTTGGAATTTGATGCTTGTAATGAAAGAACAATCGCAGTTTATGCTATTATCTGCCGTTGAGAGTGAAATTGATGACTTATTAACTAAATTAAAGATCGAATTAATTGTGTTTTTGTATCATAAGTACTATTGGGTTGAAATGAGGTGAGTATTATTCATAAACATTAATTTTGAAAAAAAAATGTTGAAACAATATGAGCAGGCAATGTGTCCCGTCAATACCGTAAAAGTGCCGTAATGAAGCACTCTGAGATCGCATCTCTGTATCTGTAGAATAGGGAGTGTGAGTATAGACTCACAGCACTTAGGCCACATGTGATCCATTATACATCCTCCCGAGGGGTTATCCTCCTAGGTCATCGTCCATCGTGTCCTTTCCAGGAAGGTGAACAGGTCACTAGGAGACATCTCCTTTATATTGGCAGGTGTAGGCCAAGACTCGCCGAACACACACTCTCTTTGGCAACCTTGAGGTGTCTCACGGTGGCCTCCGCGAAGGTTTTGGATGATGCAACGATATTACTGTCTTTGCGCGGCTTCTTCAACCTTCTTGGGGTTCCCTCCGTGGAGGTGCACATGTGATGGAGCTTTCCTGTCGGAGGCGGAGGTCTTGGCGCCCGCCGCAGGAAGTGCCCTTGCCGTTGGAGGTGATCTGCTATATCCAGCCTCATTCCAAGTGGTAGATTGGGGTGGACATTTCTGTTCATCTCCAGCCACCGCCTTAGATTGAGGTGAGCACTTATGTCAAGCCTCGGGATTGTTTTTTGTTTTTGTTGTTTCTGTTGTTTCATTCATGTGTGTTCCCACGAGTAGCAAGGTAAGAGTTGGTCACCTCTGGCAGAGCCCCGAATTACCAGAGGTAAGCAGATTACAATGAGGTTTCGCCCAGTTCTCCAAAAGTATCGTTCGTGACCGTATATCATCCTGCGGCTGTTCAGCTGTCAGCACGATTCCTTACACCTTAGCTTGGGTAGGCTGGTCCACGGTGGCATGTTTTGCAAAGGCTTTTGGGGAGTTTTAGTTTCCCTCACCCTACTTATTTCTGCCACTGACCAGGAGTCCGGCGACCCCTTCCGTAAGGCCACATTGGTATTCCGGATAGGGCCTCCAGTCCCTTGGCCGTTCTTCTATACCCTGGGAACGCGCCTGATAGGTAGCCCAACCCATGGGTCTGAGATCGCTAATGCTGGACTTGCTGACAGCAAGGGCGTTAGGGTTTCAGGCGCCTCGCGGCAAGCCGTGCACCTTGTGTCTATAACCTCTATATCGGTGAACTAAGGTATTAAGCACAATCTTGGCAGGACATAATAGTTATTCCAGATGGTTCTGTCATTTAACTGAACCTACGGTGAAGGTAGTTGAGGAAGATGGCTATTTTCAGATTGTATTTAGAAATATTTATATTCTAGTACAGAGAATGTATGTTTGTTGATCTACAGCTTTGGTTCTCTCACAGATACGTTTATCATTAAGGCTAATATTTGTGATGCACTGTTTGGAACCTTTGGTGTAGTAATTAATATTACTGGAGTTTAATCCCAACACCCAACCGTTATTTTCAACATCTCAACACGTGTTTCAATCACCAATTGATCATTTTGAAGATGACCAAGTGATCATCTTGAAGATGATCACCTGGTGATTGAAGACACGTGTTTCAATCACCAAGTGATCAATTTGAAGATGACCAAGTGATCATCTTGAAGATGATCACCTGGTGATTGAAGACACGTGTTTCAATCACCAAGTGATCATTTTGAAGATGACCAAGTGATCATCTTGAAGATGATCACTTGAAGATGATTACTTGCTGATTGAAGACAGGTGTTTCTATCGGCAAGTAATAATCTTTAATCACCAAGTGATCATCTTCAAGATGATTATTTGGTGATTGAGACACGTGTTGAGTTATTAAAATTAACGGTTTGGTGTTGGGGGATTAAACTCCAGTAATATTCAAGGTTAATATCCTTCAGGGATCTCTGGATGGTCTCCAAAACTCTTTATATTTGTTTGAAGGTGGTTGACAATGTTTCTTGGTGAATTTCATTAGTTCGGACTTCCATTGTCTAATACGACATGACTTGAAATCTCTGAATTAACAAATGAAAATAAAAATTAAAAGAATAGCTGGAAATAAAATTATATCAATAAAAAACCCTAAAAAAACCATAAGCAAAAAATTGAAAATTGAACAATTAAAATGAAATAAAAATTGAAAATCAAGAGACTTCAAGCCAAGTTACTTCACGACGTTTCGATTGTTGGTATCCACAATCATCTTCGGGTGATGACAGCATAACTGTTCAATTTTTAATTTTTTTGCTTAATTTTTATAGTAATTTTTTTTATGTTTTTTTATTGATATAATTGTTATTTTCAGCTATTATTTTAATTTTCATTTGTTATTTCAGAGATTTCAAATCATATCATATTAGACAATGGAAGTCTGAACTAATGAAATTCCTCATTATTTTGTTTATCAGTCACTTACAATACAATATACTTTGTTTTTTTGATGTCAGCACACTTGTACTCTCATACAAAT